GGAATGAGAAAAACCCAGCGATTTCTGGTTGCTAGAGAGTGAACAATTACCGGTCCATGTTTACATTTCTCATATTCACACCCAAAAACCAGTTTTGAGAGGGTCACGATAAGGAATGGGATCATGGGGAAAACTTACGGGGGACCATTGATCCGAAAAGTCACACTCAGCCCATCACTGACTGTGCCCTTGCATTCCTTCCATAGTAGTCTATAAAACTGATCAAGAAATTGACTTTTTCACTAAGCTAGACGGGCTCTCAAAGTAACAGCTCTGTCCGTTATTAAGCCTGTTGTGTTCTATTAATCTGAGCGGAAAGGGTTTTGCATGTGATGATTGGCATTTACCTCTATTTTTTTTTTTGAAGACATTTTTCAAGGTTCACAGAAAAATTGCGAGGAAGGTATAGAGATTTCCATATATCTCCTGCCTCGACACGTAGCCTGCCCCACTTCAACATCCCCCACCCGCGTGGTACATTGGCTACGGCTGATGCATCTACGTTGACACATGGTTATTGCCCAGAGTTTATAGTTTACATTTGGGTTTGCTCTTGGTGTTGCACATTCTATGGGTTTGGACAAATATGTGATGATATGTATCCGTCATTATAGTATCATATGGAGTGTTTTCACTGCCCTACAAATCTTCTGTGTTCTGCAGATACGTTCATCCTTCCAATCTCCAATGCCTGGTAATCACTGACCTTTTGACTCTCTCCAGAGTTTTGCCTTTTCCAGAATGTCATATGCTTGGAATCATACAGCATGTAGCCTTAAGGATTGGCTTCTTTCACTTGGTAATATACATTTAAGGTCCCTCCTTGTCTCCTCATAGCTGGATAGTTCATCACCGTTAATGCGGAATAGCATTCCATTGTATGGGTCCATCATTCCATTGTATGGGTCCATCATTCCATGGTATGGATCCGCCATGGGTTAACCCTTGGACTACTGAAGGACAACTTGGTTGCTTCCAAGTTTCAGCATTTATAAACAAAGCTGCTGTAAACATCTGTGTGTAATTTTTGGTGTGGATATAAGTTACATTTTTTTTTAATTGGGAAATGCCAAGCCCGAGCTGCAATCATGAAGCCAAAGGTGGCAGGGTGGTTAGAGGGAGGCAGGGAGGCTTCATGAATGAGATGGCCTCCCAGGACTGTAAGGAACAGGGAATGAATGTGCCTTCGCCCCACAGACTGTTATCCTATGAGTCCATGGCATCACATTTTTTTTTTCAAGGAAACCAGATTTCATGTGAAATTTCTAGGTTTCTGGACTTTTAGATGTTGACAAGTCTTTGAAACCTTCCTTAGCCCAAACAACACCCATTTACCACAGGCCACACTAGCCTAAATACTTTGTCTAAATTTGGGGCACCTGGGTGGCTCCATTGGTAAGCATCCAGCTCTCGATTTCAGCTCAGGTTCTGATCTCATGGTTTGTGGGTTCGAGCCCCCCATTGGCCTCTGCACTGACAGTATGGAGCCTGCTTGGGATTCTCTCTCCATCTCTCTCTCTGCCCCTCTCCTGCTCACACACTGTCTCTCTCTCTCTCTCTTTCTTAAAATAAATAAACATGAAAAAAAGTTAAAAAAATAAGATAAACCGTTTATCTAAATTTAAAATAAATAAATAAACACAAATCTCTGGAAATTTACTGAGAAGAGCATCTTTCAAATTTATTACAGTCTCTCCTCTCCTTCAAACATATTGTTCTCTATAAAAATATTTCTTTAAACAGAAAACTAATAAAATAAGACAATAGACTTAATAGAAAACTGATATATATCTGTCAGGACCTAAACCTTACTCTCAGAACCCTGTGAATAAAAGTCAAATGAGATACTCTTATACACAGAGCCTAATGCTTTACAGATGAGTGAGTAGCACCGCTTTCAAATATAACGTGAAGAAACCAATTTTTAAATAAATGTGTAGTTTGACCATCGAGCCCACAGGAGATATTGTGACGTAGCCAACCTGAAAATCAAATTATTTAAGGTTGGTTATACTAATAACAGCCTCTAACCAACTGCTAAGGTTGACTATAAAACCAGACTTGCCAAAAGCAGCAAATGAGATAGGTTCGAGAAGAAGTGGTAAGAAAATCAGGTAAGGTAGAGGGCACGTTTACTAGTGACATGTGAGTTAAACTTGCACATGAACTGCAGAGGCTGCCCGGGCTCTTGTTCCTGAACAGGTTGTGGAAGGACACGGGTGTCCATCTAATGGTGTCTGTCCCTGCTTCACCACAGCCCCGCCCCCTCCGTGGTTTCTCCTCACCGTCGACAGGTGACCCCATGTGCCATGTTTTCTCATCTCTCCCCACCTCTCTTAGCCTGAAGCCTTAGCCACATCACCCTCACTTTCGACAGAGGCAATTCCTTATTTGTCCCAGAAAACTCAGCTAAATTCAAGTGTCTTCTCTTCCGGAAAACCTCACCTCCCCCCCTCTGTCCAGGGTTCCTCTCTCTCTCTCTCTCTCTCTCTCTCTCTCTCTCTCTCTGCGTTCTAACTGTCTCAGCATCCGCTGCTGCACTACCATCACAGGGAACCATGGGTGTCTGTACGTCCCCACCAGACCATGAACTCGTGAAAGGCAAGGGCTACCAAGTTCAAGCTTTGAACCCCTACCACCTAACCCTGTGTGCAGAAAGCAGCACATGAATGTTGAATGAATGTATAGATGAATGGAATGAATGGACCCTAGAGGAAAACCCTTGGAAAAAAGACCCTGATAAGTCGGATGTTACTAAGTGATTTTGCTACAGCTTTCTTTCTTGGTCCAAATCTCTGCACGTGTTCACGGCAACGCCATTTGTGGCAGCCAGTTGTATTTTAAAAGATCTTACGAATCTGATCAATCGCAGCAATAAAGGATCCCAAACTTCAGTTCTTCAGCTCCCCCATCTGTAAAGTGGAGGTGATGATGTCTGCCCCGCTAGGCTCAGAGGGTGGTTGAGGAGACGACCTGAACTGATGTATGGGACCATGTGCAAAAAGAATCACGCTACGAGTGACAAAGCCCCAACTGCAATCTGGAGTAGGTGGTCAACTCTCCTCCACTCATCTCATTCTGACTCCGTTAAAATTCCCTACCTACTGTCTGTGGCCCCCTCTGCTTATGAGCAAGGACTCTGTCTCTAACCTTGGGATTCTCAGACTCACTCAGGAGGAGTGTAAACAAGGGTTTACTAAACGCTTCTAATAGAATGACGCGCATCACAGATAGGATCATTTCATTCATTCAAACTGTGCTAGACAATATGCAACAAGACAGAATAGGAAAGAAAAGAAGGAAGATAGAAATTATTGACAGGCCACCATTTACCGGGCACTCTATATACCAGATTTTGCTTACTGATTGTAGAGAATGTTGTCCTTATTTGACATGGGGACAATCTGAGTCTCAGTCAGGTGGGTACCATGCCAGGGGGTACACAGTTGTCACCCCGGCTTGAACCCATACACCACACTACCTTCCCACGAGTGCCTTGAGCTCAGAGTTCTCCGGAACATCTGATGTCACAGAACCAATGACTTCCAGAGGAGAATGAAAGCTCAGGGAGCATCTAGTCCAACCCTGGACCATAAAGCACAAAACTGAGGTTCAAAGGGGAGTATGGCCCAGGCCACGAAGACTGTAAAGAAAGACAGTCATGAAAAACACTAGTATGTTTCACATTCACATGGTACGTCCTATCGATATACTATTTTTATTAAATTTACAAGTATATGTATAGATCATGAGACTTTGGAAATTAGTCTACTTTCTTGAGTCTCATATACCTTTATGAAAATAGCGTGTATTTGACGTTCACACAGAAGTAATCTTGGGTTAAATCTTAATCTTTTTTTTCTTTCCTGACAAAATTCCACGGACCTCTCTCTAGAAGAATAAACTAAGACTATTGACTAAAAACCCCAGCAAAGAAAGCATAACTCCACAGAAAATGGCCTCCTAACCAACAATTAAAATCATAATGAAATACTGGGGGTGGGGGGGGGCGGGAAAAAGGCAAAGGTGTCCTCTCCTTCCGAAATCAAAGGAAAAAGTAAAAGAAAATAAATTTCCCATGAAAACTGCCCCAGTCATCTTTAAAAAGCTTTCCCAAATTCCAAGTGGCTCTGTTAGCAGCCATACTTAATGCATGAGGTCGTCATGTAAGAATAAATCTTTACGTAATTCCAAACAAGGACTCTTCAGTAAATAGTTGAAATTAAGGGGGGGGGGGGCAGTTACAGTCATCTGGTTTCCATTAGGATGATAAAATAGTTCACTTGAAACCTTTTACAAGATGCTTTGTTACTGGGAGGTGTCCGCACATATCACTCCATCACTGGCCATTTGACACAACATAAAAGGCTTCAAAAGCCATGTTAGGCCTCTTAATCAAAAACTAATTGTAATAGATATTGGGGAGTGTTAACACGGTGACCGCTAGGTTGTAGCTGTGGTGTGGAAGCCGCAGCGAACATTAAACACAACCCCGAGTTGATAGGCCTTATCTCCATTTCAGAGCTAAGTGCTAAGTACCACGGGCCAGTATCTCCTCGCTATGGCTTTGTACCACTTTTGGAGTTAATTGCCCCGCAAGGCTTCATCTTCTTAATGAAATTTATGGCATTGTCAGAGAACCCTGTAGATACTGCTGTAGTTTAGGCCACTTTACAGAAAACAGAGACATAAACAGAGAGGAAAAGAAAATACATACTTGGAGCCTAATGTGTCCGCAGCCCTCACCGAGGGAAGAGACACCCAGGCCAGGAGGGAGGGCTTGCCAACGCGTTAACTCTTTCAGGCCCGTAATGGAATGTTCATACCGTGCCCTTGAAGGGAAGGCTAATAACTAGCATCCTAGAACCCACGGCGGGCATTCGATAAATCCTTAATATTCAGCCTTACAAGACTTGATCTCAGATGGACGGGGGCCCATACTCTGTGGATAGCCAGTTATGTCAACCTGGCAAAGGAGAATTTCAAGTTAAAGACCAAGTGTGATTTTGGATCTTGGATTGGATGCTAGAAAAGGGGGGAAAAAAAAAAATATATATATAGGGGAAAATGTGAAATCTGATGAAGACTGGAGTTCAGTTAATGGTTTTATACTTTATATATACACATGCAGCTACCTTCTTAGTATCAGGATTAGTATCAGGATTAGCGTTATGGAAAAGGTTAACATTAGGGCAGGCTGGGTGAAGGGTGTGTAGGATTTCTATGGACTATCTCTGAATTCTTCTGCAGCTCTAAGAGTCTTTCACAATAAAAAGGTCTTGGGGGGGGGGCACCTGGGTGGCTCAGTTGGTTAAGCATTCGATTCGATTTCGGCTCAGATCGTGATCTCATGGTTGTGAGATCGAGCCCCACATCGGGCTCTGTGATGGCGCTGTGGAGCCTACTTGGTTTTCTCTCTCTCTCTCTCTGTCCCTCTCCCTCTGTCTCTAGCTCTCAAAATAAGCGTTTAAAAAAAACAGGTCTTGAAAGCAGTAGCAACTCCAATAATCAAGATACAAAACCATATTCTTTAAAAGCATCTGAGGGGAGCCTGGGTGGCTCAGTCAGTTAAGCAGTGACTTGGACTCAGGTCATGCTCTCATGGTTCGTGGGTTCAAGCCCTGCATCGGGCTGTGTGCTGACAGCACGGAGCCTGGAGCCTGCTGCAGATTCTGCGTCTCCCTCTCTGTCTGTCCCTCCCCTGCTCACACTCTGTCTCTCTCTCTCAAAGATGAATGAACCTTTAAAAAGTTTTAAAAGAAAAAGAGCATATGAAATGGAACAAAAAAAATACGTTACCTTCATCCACCGGCCAATAGGTTTTCTAACCCGTGCCCACTCGGTTTTCTCCATCTTCCTCCGGTGACAATTTCATGTGTAGTTCCACAAAACTCTATTTGAATCTCTGCTTTTATATCTTTTGCGCTTTCCATTAGCTACTCACGCACAAATTCTTCCACTATTGAACTCTCAGAGGAAAAGGACGGTGCCTTGTTTATCCTGGACCCTCAGAGTTATTTATTTGAAACCATTTGAGCATAGATCCACAGAAAGAACAGTCTTTAACAGAAATTACCATGATCTCATCCCAAAGAGTTATTATATAAATTAGATCGGATTGACTGCTTTAAAAATGTCCAGAATAGGGGTGCCTGGTGGTAGAGCACGTGACTCTTGATATTGGGGTCTTGAGTTTAAGCCCCACATTGGGTGTAGAGAATACTTAAAAAAAAAGAAATGAGTTTTGGGGTGCCTGGCTGGCTCAGTTGGAAGAGCGTTCAACTCTTGATCTTGGGGTTGGGAGTTCGAACATCATCTTGGGTGCCTGGCTGGCTCAGTTGGAAGAGCGTTCAACTCTTGATCTTGGGGTTGGGAGTTCGAGCACCATCTTTGGTGTAGAGATTACTTAAAAATACAATTTTTTTAAAAAGTGCCCAAAGTAACAAAGGCCAACATGTGGTAGAATTTATTTCTCTCCCGTATCAGAGTGGTTCAGAAGGTTCTGTTTCTCAAGATGGTCCAGCAGCCCAGCTCCCTTCCATTTTATTTTCTGTCATGCCCCAGGGCATGGCCCATTTATTTTCTGTCATGCCCATGATTCATGACTCATGATTGCTCTTGACGGCCATTCCAAGATGGCTCCCCACTCTCATGCTCACATTTCAGCCCACCTAAGATGGGAAGGATGAAGTCGAGGGCCAGCAGCTTCCTTTTAAGAGCACAACAGAGCAGTTTCGCAAAACATTTCATTCTTAGACGATAGGCCAGAATTTGTTCAAATGGCTGCACCTACTTGCAAGGGCAGCTGGGAAACATAGTCCAGTTAAATGGCTTTATGACCAAAACTAGGAGAAATGGGAAGAAATTGGATATTAGAGGACAATTCTGAATCCCTGCCACAGTTCTTTTATCTTATAGAAATTTACCTAACAAGATATCTATTTTTTTCTTACAAAAGTTAATTTTAGAAAGCATATTAGAATTTTGTGTGACAGTATTACTGAGAGATCATTCACGTACCATAAAATGTATCCTTTTAAAGTGTACAATTCTGTGGTTTTCCATATATTCACAGAGTTGTACGATCATCACCACGATTTCAGAACATTTTCATCACCTTCCCAACTCCCCATCTCCCCACCTCTATCAAAAACTAGTCCAACTTCTGCCTTTATGCATTTGCGTAGTTTGGATATGTCATATAAAGGGAATCATACACTATGTGGCATGTTCCTTTAGTGTGACATATCTGTCTATGCTGCAACATGGATTAACACTTCATTCCTTTTTGTGATAATATTCCATTGTATGGATATACCACATTTTGTTGATCCAATCATCCGTTGGTGGTTATCTGGGTTGCTTTCACTTTTTGGCTCTTATGATTAATGCTGCTAAGAATATTCCTGAAGAAATGTTTGTGTGGACATATGTTTTCAGTTCTCCTGGGTATGCATGTAAGCATGCTGGGTCTGATGGTAACTCTTATGTCTAACATGTTGAGAAATTGTCAGTCTGATTCATGATTCTGCAAACAATGCACAAGGATTCCAATTTCTCAACTTTCTCACCAACACTTGCTATTGTCTGCCTTTTTGTATTTTAGCTACACTCGTGGGTGAGAAGTGAAATTTCACTATGGTTTTGATTTGTATTTTTCTATGATATTGACCATCTTTTCATGGGCCTATTGGCTATTTGTATATCATCTTTAGAGAAATGTCCATTCAAACCCTCTGCCCCTTTTTAATTGGATCCGTGATCTGTCTAGTGACCTGTATATTCTGGATGTAAGTCCCTTATACATGATTTGAAAATATTTTCTCCTATTCCGCAGGTTGGGTTTTCGCTTTCTTGATGGTGATTTGTGAAGTGTAAAGGCTTTTAAAAAAAACCTTTAATAAAGTCTAACTTGCCCTTTTTTGTTTGTTTGTTTCATATCTAGGAAACCATTGTCTAACTCAGTTTTGTAGTCTTCTCTCTTTCCTTTTAGGACCATGATCCACCGTCAGTTAATTTGGGGATATGGTTGTGGGGGAGGGGATCCAACTTCATCCTTTTTTTTTTTTTTTAATGTTTTCTTTATTTATTTTGAGAGTGAGAGAGATAGAGAGTGATCAGGGGAGGGGCAGAGAGAGAGGAAGACAGAGAATCACAAGCAGGCTCCGAGCTGTCAGCACAGAGCCCCATGTGGGGCTTGACCTCACAAACTGTGAGATCATGACCTGAGCCTAAATCAAGAGTCAGACACTTAACCAACTGAGCCACCCTGGCACCCCCCCCCAAGTTCATTCTTGCATATGTATTCCCAGTTGTGCTAGCACCAATTTTTGGAAACATTCTTCTTTGTTCCATTGAATCACGTTGGTTTCCTTGCCAAAGGTCAGTGAACTGTATGTGTTAGGATTTATTTCTGGATTTTCAATTCTATTCCATTGATCTAACTAATTGTCTGTCCTTATTCCAAAACC